AACACGTCATGGGTCTTAGGGGACCACGTGTTGGAAGCATTTCCAACTACTTGAGCACGAGTTCCAGATTTGACAGCTCTATGGGCAGCTGGAATCACCGCAGAGAATTGAAGAGGCTGAGTGATTCCCAGACTATGTCCCAGGAGGTGATCATCCCACAGGCAGTGTTCAGGATAGTAGATGGGTGGCTTATCTGGAACAGCAAGAGGAGACAGGATGAGTAGGAGGCTTCAGAGTGAATGACACAGTCAAACTAATATTCAGCATTGGAGACTGTGAGAGCGAGAACACATTGAAGTGCAATCAGATTTCTGTAACTCTCACTGTAAGGCCCACATGATACTTTGGTGTCAAGTTAAAGACCATTATAATGAGGGTTGAATATTCTACTGGGGGATGGGAATTAGCTAGAAACTGTGGTGGATGGCAATAGCAAAGACTCAGAGGGTAGTTATCGAGGCCCTGAGGCAGGCATTCAGGAAGTAGAGACGAAGTTGAAAAATAAGATCTCAAAAAGATAGTAATCTCAGGATTACTCCCAACGACACACACCAATGAGTGTGAGAATGAAAAGGAAGAATTTCCGATCTTGGGGCATTAGGATTAGTTCTGGGGCGGGAGGTATTTATTCAGAAGGGAAGTATGGGACCAATGTCCTCATGGGGAAATTTACCAGCGTGTTTGGGAAGTGTTTAAACTAAGCTGATAAGGAGTGGGCGTCACCATGTAAAAGTAGAAAAGAGGCACAAACAAGGTGAATAGAAGAGGATATTGGATAGAACAAGAGAAGAAAGCAGTTTGATATTAGGTAGCAGACTAAAAAGGATTACAGGAACACAAAGTTAGGTTTACAATGTATGTATGTAAATATACCAACTGTGATGAATAAAGTTAGTCAGCTACAAACAATAATGGAAACAAGGCTTACAAATAATGAGTAGAAGAAAAAATATAATATATATATACACACACACACACACACACACACACACGAGAGAAAGAAGCAAAAGAGAACAAAGTCAGAGAAAGAAGAAAGGGAGAGGGAAAAAAGAGACATAGCGAGAGAGAAAGAAGAAAAAGAGAGGGAAGGAAGAAGATCTAGAAAGAGAGCAAAAGAAGAGAGAAGAGAGAAAGAAGAAAGTGAAAGAGAGAGAAAGAAGGAAGTGAAAGAGAAAGAAAGAAGAAAGAGAATGAAAGAGAGAGATAAAAGAAAAGAGAAACAGAAGAAAGGGTGAGAGACAGAGGTAGAAAGAAATAGGAAAGGGAGAGAGAGATAGAAGAGAGAAAGAAAGAGTTAGAGAAGAAAGAGGGAAAGAAGTGAGAGGGAAAGAAGCAGGGAGACAAAGAAGAACGAGAGAGAGAGAGAATGAAGAAACAGAGAACAAAGAGAGAGAAAGAGGAAGAAAGAGAGACAGAAGAAAGAGAGGAAGAGACAGAGAGTAAGAAAGAGAAAGAAAGAGAGACTGAAGAAAAGGAGAGACAAAGAAGAAAAAGGGAGAAAGAAGAAAGAGAAAGTAAGATCGAGAGATAGAAGAAAGAGAAAAAGTAGGAGAGAAAAGAGATAAGAGAGTTAAAGAGAGAAAGAAGTGAGATAAAGGAGAGAAAGAAGAAAGAACGAGAAAGAAGAGAGAAAGAAGAAACAGAGAGAAAGAATGAGTGAGAGAAAGCAGAATGAGAGAGAGAGGAGAGATAGAAGAAAGACTGAAAGAAGAAAGAGGAAGAGAAAGAAGAAAAAGAAAGAAAGAGAGGAAGAGATAGAAAGCAGGTAGAGAGCGAAAGAAGAAAGGGAGAGGTAGAAGAAAGGTATTTAATAGATATGAAATGTTCAGAAATATGGAAAAGGAACAAATGGTGGTGTGAGCCAGTACTGACTGAGGAAGACATGCTGGTATTAGAGAGGGTCTTCTTGCGGGGGCAAGTACAGAATCCATTTAGTTTAAGTTGAGAAACAGAAATGATCACTCAAATGGAAGCATTCTACAAGCTTATATTTAATGAGAAGAGGATCAAACATGCTGATCAATCATTAGAGACACGCAAGACCTGTAGAGTCGCACCATTGGGGATTTCAATTGCTTATTATCCATCAGGATTATGTTAAAGAGAAAGCTTAAACGTGCTCAGAACCTCCTTCACCAGTCCTTAGTGCAACTAGAAAGGAGGCATTGCTGGATCTGGTGCTGGTGAATGAGGTGGCCATTGCGCCTGGAAGAACACCGGGTTAACAGTGGTCATCCTATCATAAGGTTATTTTGGATCTTTCCTAGCTTCCCCATTACTAAAGTATATTGATGAGGGCTAACTTCAATAAGATGGGGATCTAGCCAAAGTCTATTGCATAAGGACACCACTCCACATTGAGCATGACTGAACAGGAGACTTTCTCACTCTCTGTTACAAGTGTCCTGGAAGGATTTTCAGGTTGATTATCAACCCTGCGGCCATGTTATGAAGGCATACTGTGAAATCACCAAATTCTGCAATGGAACATGAAGCCGGACCTTCTGGCTTAGAAGTAGGATTCTATCCTGTGTGCTACAACAACTCTGTATTAACAGTTATGGTTAAGTAATTGTCAGGGTGAATCCTACTAAATTTTGACAGAATATTAATAAAAGAGGAGACAATATAGTTAATGGAAAGCGTGAAAATTGATGTATTGTTCTAATGCTTTGGAAAGAGAGGCAATGCTTAGAGTGAATAAGTCATCTGGTCAGATGCCTTGCATCCAGTCTGGTCAGGGAGGCTTGGGTGGAGATAATGCAAAAACTTGACATTATTTTCTAATCTTCACTTGATACGGACAATGTGTCAGAAGATTGCAAAAACAGCATGCTTGCTCCAGTAAGACTGTAAAGCCAATCCCAGTAACTGCGTATCAGTGGTGGAAACGATAACATTAACAGGCATCTGGAGAGATTTACTTAAGGAGATCTAGCATGGTCTTGAAAGAGGTAGCGTTTGACTATTCTAATTAATTTCTGGTGAAGTTAATACAAAGGGAAATGCAAAGGGTTTTGTCTACATGGATCTTAAGAAAGTGACAAAATGGCACAAAGGTTGATTAACAAAGTTGAAGAGCATGGAATAATATGATCAGGGTCAGCATGGCTTAAAAAACAAAAAAAAAAAAAAAAAAAAAAAAAAACTTGGAGAAACTCAGCAAGTCTAACAGCATCAGTGGGAAGAAAGCAGAGTCAATGTTTTGGGTCCGGTGACTCTTCATCAGATCCAGACTCAAGATAGATTCCAGAACAGCAGCTGAGCTGGAAAGCAATGCCAGTTTTGTGTCCCAGTGGCTATTAAAAATCTTATCCTGAGGGCTCTGCATAAGGTAAGTAATGGAACTGTGTCAAGTACTAATATTCTTTTAAAAGAAAGCAAAAATAATTGAACAATGTGGACATTAAATAATATGCAAGGTATAAAATTATATAAAATGTCACTGCAGAGAATAGGGTAGTAAATCTATATTAATATATACAAATAGCAATAAATAATCATTGGTAGAATATTGGAGAACTGACAGGACTGAGGGAAATCTGTTATGACAATGAGTTGCATCCAAAAAACAAACAGCTAATCCACATTTTGATTTAAATTGTACTGAGGCTATTCTCAACATCCAGGAGAGCAGGAGCCGAAGTATTAACTGCGGCAAGTCTTATGGACATGGAATTACCCATATCTGATCTGCAAGACTTTAAACTGCCTATACAGGCCATCACCAATTTTCTTGAAGAAGATTATATGATAAACCCTGCAGTTACAGTTGCCACTTTCCACAGGTGGAAGTTGCACTGATCAGCACGAAGAACACTTTGCGTGGCGATACCTCATCTTAGCCAAGCATCAATCCCAAAGGTTGTTGAGCAATTGTGCTTTTTTTCATACAAGGGTCTCTGACACATTTACCTGAATTTTACAGGGCTATGTCGAGACCTACAGATCTTCACAATGAATTGTAACATGAGCTCAATGCTCCAGATGGCGCCACCCTCTGTTTCATCCCAATGGAAAATGAATGCTTTTTATAAGACTCGTGTTCTTTATCCATCTGCTGTCCTTTTCACTCAAGACAACATAAACATGTACCCTGAGGACAAGGTCTGAAGCTTAGCTTCCTTTCCATACAACACTATGAACAGGAAACACTATTTGTACTTCACACAAATATTGATTAAATCAAAATGGCTTTCTGCAATTTCCGAAAAACGTAACGGCAGAAAGTATCTAAATGTTAAAAGCAAATACTTCTCAACTTTGAAAAAAGCATTTTTACACTTTTCAAATAAAAAGTAACACTTTACCTCCCCGCCAGTAGTAAAAAAAAAAAAAAAAAAAAAACCACAAACCGTATCAGACGTGAGTGAAATGAAGTTGGTGCCAGGATGACTGATAATATTATCCAAAAGAAAAAGATGAAAAAGTCTCAAGGTTGTTCATGGCTCAGACGGTTGTCATAGGGAGAAAACCTTTTAAAGTCAAACCCTAACACATCAGGACCAACAAATAAGTTTTAGCAGAAGGGCTGACTTTGGCACAGTTTGCTCTCCTTTGAACTTGGAAGCTGCTGCAATCAATTATAGGCTTATTTTACTTTTTAAATCCACTGAATTTTGTGAAATTAACAAATGTCAGTACAAGGAACAGAATGTTAATTAATTTAAAATGAATGCATCAGCACTCAGCATTTCCAGGTTAGCTAGAGCTGAGGCAGGAAAACTCCCTCTTGGCTACTCCAAGCTCAGAGGAAAAGCCAACACGTGATGTTTTATTCTATTTCCCAATCAAACATTTGGCCTCTCTCAATGAAATAACTAATTTTGTACCAAACCAGTGAAAAGCATAGGTACAGATTCTGAGACGGTTGATTCTTGTGCACCAGGAACAGCACTGATTTTACTGAAACTCATTTTTGATAGGCTTGCATCAAGTTAGTTGCTGGTTGGGATTGGTTTGCGATATGTGCATTATAGGCAGCATTTGGACAAAACAAATTACAATATCAATAATCATAGTTGTTTATTAAAACAAATCCAGAAGCTCATGATAATAGATATAAAACTATACGGAATGATTTTTTAGCATCTCCAGCTACATTAAACACAGATAGTGTGTGTCCAGGGTAGTGTTTCATGGAAATATCATTTTGAATCACTCCTCCAATATTATAATCCCTTCCACCCATTTTCCTGTAACTCAGTTAAATATTAAAAGCAGTTATTTCTAATGAGACAAAAACTTCTAAATTGGTAAAAGATCTGTTCACAATCACCTAAAAATAGATTATGACCAGGAATTCAATTTACCCAACTGTGAGCAGGGACTGACGACAGTTTCGGTCAGAGATCAAACACCTCTCTGGCAGCAACTATGATTTTTGTATGACCTGACATCCAGTAAAAGGGGTGTGAACAAGAGGGATTCTGGAACGAATGTAGAATCTAAAAGGCTAAAATATGCAGTACTTAATGCTTCTGTGATTCTGTGTTTTAAGTTATATCCACACTGTAGCTGGGATGACAGCCAGTCAAGCTGCCCTAGGTAACAACTAGGCCACATGTCAAGTTGGTCTGGATGTACTCTAACTTTAATTTATCCTCTTCCCAACCCAAATCGATCCACGATTTGGATCCTGAGTATAAGATATCCCGCATCAACAACAAATAGTCTGCAGAGTTTAAAAATGAACGTGTGCACTTAGAGTTACAGCTCCAGGTTTCTTCTCTTCCTCAGTAAGCGGCTCCTTTTTCAGCAGTCGGTTATGCAATTTGTATTGCTTGCCAATACCAAGTTTAGGGAGCCCGCGATTTAGTCCCTCCAGCAGAGCACATGCCTTGCAGAGCTGCTGACTGGAAATGTAACCACAGCGGGTACATGTTCCTTGGGTGGGCATCTTCACATCCTCCTTTACAGACAGGTTCTCACCAGAGTGAATCACATCCATGATGGCACTGGTCCGGATAGATTCCAAATCTTTCAAGAAAGCACGAGCATAGCCCCTGTATGCGTTAGGGGAATACACACATTCTGTTGAAAAGTAGTCCAGTTTCTTGAAGTAAGCATACAGTACTATCTCTTTCTCATAGGCATATTTCAGTGGCTTGCAGCGCGGGATGGCTCCCTCACTACCTGTGGTAATTGAAGTGCAGCGGCGAAGTCGAGCAATGTCTCCACGTAGGAAGTTCATCAGTACAGTCTCAGCAACATCATCAGCATTGTGACCTGGGAGAAGAGGGGGAAAAGGAGGATGTCATTAAATTTTACATCCACAGATGCAGGTACATTCACTCATTAGATTGGTCACTGGGCAACATCACAACCAGGAGTCCATATCACCAACTGGGCTCCTAGTTGAGGCCACTCAAACAACACAACCTAATTGGTACAATATAATATTGGCTTTCAATGGTCCTTTCCTGTGTTGTCCGATCCTATAATACTAGGTCTAGATGTACTTATTCTAGTGGCTGTCTAAAACAAATCATGCACCAGCTCTCACCTCCCTGCTATTATGTAATATTAAACTCTTGCTCTCGAGTGCTTCTGGTGCCTTTCCCCATGTCCTCGTAAATTCACTTCCTGGCCAATGCCTTTCAATGTCAAGTGGTCAGACATTCTTCTGCCAAATAAAGGCAAGTTAATATATGGACTTCTTTGTCATCTCACATTCTTAAATATTGGACTCTATAGTAACTGTCCCACTGTCTCTTCAAATCAATTAGTACTTTTTAAAATATGTGCTCCATTCACTGGACTTATTTCATTATATCTCTAATAACATGAATAATGTCTAAACTATTAACACTTCAAGATATTTCTGGTCACACTTGTCAAGACTTCTCTTAGTCTTGTAAACACCAATAAATATAGCACAAAAGTTTTTTTTGAAAACATTCCCACTTATTCTGTTAACTTTGTATACTTCTTTGCTTTTTACATTTTCCTTGTGTATGGAGACCAAAACTGCAGATGACAACGGCACTGGTCCGGATAGATTCCAAATCTTTCAAGAAAGCACGAGCATAGCCCCTGTATGCGTTAGGGGAATACACATTCTGTTGAAAAGTAGTCCAGTTTCTTGAAGTAAGCATACAGTACTATCTCTTTCTCATAGGCATATTTCAGTGGCTTGCAGCGCGGGATGGCTCCCTCACTACCTGTGGTCATTGAAGTGCAGCGGCGAAATCGAGAAATGTCTGAGCCTTGTATTGTCAGCCTTGTACAATTGCAGCAAGCCTTCCTTATTATAGTACTTCAATCCCTTGCAATAAAAGGTCAAGATATCATTTACCTACATGTCTTGCAGCACAGTGGTAGTGTTCAATCCTCTGAGCCAAAAGGTCTGGGTTCAAGACCCACCTGAACAGAGGTCCGTCATAATATGTCTGTAACAGGTTAATTCAAAATATCAACGATTTAACTTCCTAATTGCTTGCCATGTCTTAACTTTGAGTTTGAACACAAAGACACTCAAATCTCTCTGAACACCAACATGTAACATTTTCTCACAATTAATTTATTTTCCTAGCAAAACAAATAACCTAATTTCACTTCAACTGTCATTTTTTGGCTCACTCACTTTACCTATATTCCTTTGCAAACTCTGTCTTCCTCACAATTTACTTTTCATCCAGCTTTGTATTGTCAGCAAACTTGGATCCATTAGACTGTCCCTTCATCTACAACAATAACGTGAATTGTAAGTAGCTGGGGCACAAACACTGATCTTTGCAATACCCCATCAGTAACAGGTTGCCAAACTGAAAACAATCTGCTTATTCCTATTCTTGCTCGTTATTTCATCCTCCATCCATGTTAATAGTGCAATTAGTATGAACCTATATCATATGCAAATAAACTATGTCGTATCTTATCAAAGGTCTTTACAAAATCCAAATATACTACACTTGCTGGGAAGGTTCCCCTTTATCCACTTTACTGGTTACATTTTCAAAAATTTAAAACCTAGATTTGTTGAATGGTCCAATATAGAATAACAGGGATGTGCATCATCACGTATCCAAATGACTAGTTTATCCTTCTATCATGGGGAACCAGGAAGCAAATGTTATAGAAGCGAAGGGAAAGTAGAGGGCTTATATTAAGCCACTTGACACAATGGCTCAGTGGTTAGCACTGCTGCCTCACAGTGCCAGGGACCCAGATTTGATTCCACCCTTGGGTGACTGTCTGTGAGGAGTTCACACATTCTCCTCGTCTGCATGGGTTTCCTCCGGGTGCTCCGGTTTCCTCCCACAGTCCAAAGATATGCATGATAGGTGGGTTAGCTAAGTTGTCCATAGTGTCCAGAGATGTGCAGGCTAAATGGATTAACCATGGGAAATGCAAGGTTACGGGTTGGGT